ACATCCAGGTAATACAGTACGCCAAAAAGCAGTTACTCAAGCAACTGGATATGATTTTGGAAAATCATTTAAAAAAAAAAAAAGATTTTCCAAAATCATATCCAGTTGCTTGAGTAACTGCTTTTTGGCGTTATTGTAAATAGTTTGTGTTTCTATATTTCATTGTTTAGGCCAATTTTCCTTGGACACTCTTTTGCAATATAAAGAGAGGTGGAAGAGGGGAGCGAAAGAAGAGGATTTGGATGACAGGTCTCCCTCGAAGAAAAGGAAAATAACTGGATTTGAAGAGATTAGGAAAGACACACATAAATGGTTACTGTAAATAGGTTGTAAATAGACAAGATGCTATGTTTATATTTTTCATTATTTAGGCCACAATATTTTTTGCCTTGTTCATATTTTGTTTGAATGTGAGAAATATAAGCAAAGTTATTGTGGCCTTAATTTGGTTTTTTTTTACAGAACTTGTTTGCTGAAGAACAAAAAAATACACTCTTTGCTATTGTAGAGTTTGTTAATAGCTAGCTTGGTTTTGTCCATACTTTAACACCAAAAAGTAAAATGTTGAGTGGAATAAAGTTGACCTGAAAAGTTTCTAAAAACAGATTAGTAGTTATATGTCTACTAGTAGGTAGCTGTCAGAGTTTACTGTTTTACATCAAAAAGAAAATATTAGATGTACATTAAAAACTAGCCAGCCTACTTAACAGAAAAAATGGTGCAATATCTGTACAATGTATTAACATGCGTAGCCTGACTAAATTATTTAAAAATCCCAAATCTTGTTGCTAATAAAGTATCAATCTCACAAGCTTCTTTGATCCGTTTACTTGTTGTTTTTTTAATAAACAGAGATTTGAGGCATTGAAATCTACTTAGACTTAAGCTAAGGGGCTCCCATGTTGTTAGAGTATAGATGAGATATACTTACACTTATCTTCCTTTATTGATGTACTAACAATTGGCTTACATGTAGTGCATGTACTTCTTTACACACAACAAGAACAGAATCACTTGCCGACATTTCTGTGGCCGTCTGTCCTCGAGGCAGTACCAACCTGTAGTACTCCATACTACAGCTAGGTGTCGCTGCTGCATGGTGAATAATTCTGTCCCAAATAGTTATACGTACCCCTCATCACAGTTATTTTTTCCAACATACAATTGTGTATGCTAGTATGCCATGGGTATAGGTCCACACTTATAAGTTATATGTGTGTATTTGCAGAAAGTATTTCAGAATTGCAGAATTACAAAATTTTGACATTCTGCAATATTGCAGAACAGTAAAAAACTAGAGAAGTAACATTTGCAAATCAAATGCATAATGTTTACCTTCGGACATGGTCTGCCCTGTTAATTTTTACTCAAACACATTCACATACATGTACTACTAGTATATGGTGACAGGAGCAGAGCAGACCATGAAATTGCAACATTATGTAACCCAACACCAGTCACTCACCATGGTGGCAAACGTCAACAACCAGGTCAGAGGAAGTGTTTGGAACAGAAGAGGAAGAAACTGAGTAAAAATGTTATGTTTTTCTTCGGTAAACATAAAAAGTTTTTTGACCACTGCACAAGGCAGGATTTGCTGGCCTGTTTTCAGATACTTGTTAGACACCTGCTAAGACTCCTTGGACCCTGACACTGCGACAGTCTCTCTGTCTCCCAAGACCACGAAGCCGTGTTTACTGATCCTTAAGTAAAGGTCAAACTCCTTAGACGCGAGTGCCGCGCCCCACGCCGCCTGGAGCGCTAGCGCGGGCAGCATCCGCCACAGGATCGGTCGGCTCGTTCTTACCCAGAATTCCCAGAAGTCGCGTATGCTCCCTTTCGGCAGGACGGCCGTGTAATACCTGCAGGGACAGAGAGGAGAGAAGTTGGGATTTTTACTCACAAATATAAAATGAAGTCTGAAGTCGCCTCTGTCTTTCCTTACTGTTTCTCCTTACTTTGTTGGAGTCAACCTACTTCAGGGGTTGAAATAGTGGGTACATAATAATTTATGCACCTAAAATTGGAGCTGTGCACCTATTTTTTGACAGTGGGTACACTGCACTGGTACACATAAATATTTTTGTAAGTTACCTATAGTAAAAGTAGAATACACTGTACTTCCAACAATAGTAGGCATTCGTCGGTCTTAAAAGACCATGAAGTACTTCATCTACATCTACACCCTATACTTTTTCTTATTTTTGCGTTCCAACAATGGTGTGTCAAGAATAAGTTTAAATTCGTGACTCTGTCCATCCCTGAAGTTATTTATAGTAGTGACAGCAAAGGGTCTCCATGTACCTTTTGGCCAGGCCGCCGGCCATGGGGATTGCCAGACAGACTGGGTTCACAAAGCCAACCAGTGTCAGTGGTAGTGGTTGTAAGTGTTAAGTGGTAATACATTTTGTAAGTGTGTAGGTGGTAGTAAGTGTGTAAGAGTGCCTACCTTTTGGTCAGGCTGCCGATCACTAGACAGACTGGGTTCACAAAGCCAGCCAGTGTCAGTGGTCGTAAGTGTGTAAGTGGTAGAAAGTGACTGTGTAAGTGGTAGTAGGTGTGTAAGAGTGCCTACCTTTTGGCCAGGCCACCGGCCATGGGGATAGCCAGACAGACCGGGTTCACAAAGCCGGCCAGCACGTTTATACTCGCTCCTCGAACCTGAGCACAAACTGGGCAGTTCAGGTTCCCTGGGGGGTAAAACATATATAATATATTAACATGCCTGTAGCCAGGATTTTGAAGGGGGGGGTTCTTCCCACTGCTTGAGGGACCAGTGAGCGCCGTAGGCACAACGTTCCTAGGGGGGTCCAGGGGCATGTTCCCCCGTGAAATTTTGAAAAATGAACCTTCTGAAATGGCATTTCAGAAAAAACAGAGATAACTTTTTTTAATGACCAAGTGGGCAATTTTCCTACGATTCCAGCCTCACTGGTGCCAGGAATCAGTCCATCTTTTAAAGAAAAATTTTGGACCTTTAGGTTCCGGGTCGGAGTTTAATTCTGACCAGGGTTCCAAATAGTGCGCAGTAAATCGCCAGATCTGCGAGGTTGTCACGCTAGGTTTGGCTCCCCATAGCTCGGCGATCGCTGTAGATTTTCAACTAGGTTTTGAATTGATCAAAAAGCCTTGGGATTGTAGTGTTTTTCGGCGCGGTGAAGTTGGCCGGCCAGCGAAGCTTTTTTGGTATTAGTCCGCGAGCAAGGGTGATGCGGTTTGTCGCCTGATGACCCAAATAGCTCCGTTCTATGTGGAATTTCTAGGGGTTCGCGTCACCGGATTTTGTGAAAAACTTATCGCAACAACCTATATTTTTTTTCTGTTTTTCAGAAACAGAAAGTAGTAAGCTATTTCAGCATATAAGCCGTTAGCCTGGGAAAATTCGTTTTTCCAAGCAGGTCCGTTGAAAAAACTGCAAAAAAACTACATTTTTCGTATCCAAAATTACAGTTTCTACCCAAATTATAGAGTCGACGGACAATAACCAAAATTGTATCGGAAGCCGGCTGGAAACCTCCGTTGACTGATGTAATGAGAATTTTCCCAGCGTACTTTTTTTGGCGGAGTTATAGCCCTTCGGTCTGAGGGTGTCCGCCGGATCCAAAATCGTGAAAAAAACTCCGGTCCGAGACCTTTAGCATGGACCTACGAGCATGGACTGTGCCATTGTTCCAGCGGGGGTGCTAAACGTTACCTGCCAGCATGGACTGTGCCACAGCTACAACGGGGGTGTGTGGACTGTGCCACAGTTCCAGCAGGGGTGTTACCCACCTGCGAGCATATGGACTATGCCATTGTTACAGCGGGTGTGTGTGTGTGGGTGGACTGTGCCACTGTTCCAGCGGAGGTGTTACCCACCTGCGAGCATGGACTGTGCCACTGTTACAGTAGGGGTGTGCGGACTGTGCCATTGTTCCAGCGGGGGTGTTACCCACCTGCGAGCATGGACTGTGCCACTGTTACAGTAGGGGTGTGCGGACTGTGCCATTGTTCCAGCGGGGGTGTTACCCACCTGCGAGCATGGACTGTGCCACTGTTCCAGTGGGGGTGTTATCCACCTGCGAGCATGGACTGTGCCATTGTTACAGCGGGGGGTGTGGACTGTGGCACTGTTACAGCGAGGGTGTTACCCACCTGCGAGCATGGACTGTGCCACTGTTAGTGGGGGTGTTATCCACCTGCGAGCATGGACTGTGCCACTGTTCCAGTGGGGGTGTTATCCACCTGCGAGCATGGACTGTGCCATTGTTACAGCGGGGGTGTGTGGACTGTGGCACTGTTACAGCGGGGGTGTTACCCACCTGCGAGCATGGACTGTGCGACGAAGGCCTGCCACGCGCCGGTTGCCGTGACGGCAGGGATGAGGAACATGGGAAGTGCGGACAGGAGCCGGGCCTGCGTCACGTCCAGCACCCGCCGGAACATGCTGTTGGCGATGAGGCCGACAAACCCTGCGTTCACACCCACTGTCGTCACTCCACTAGTGAAGGGCCATCTGCAGGGGTTAGAAGCAATAGTGGTACATGTGTACATGTTTGTCATCACCAGTAGGGCTGAACAAAAACTGTTGCCGTATGTTAAAAGTTCCTCTGTGTTGGTAGAAGTTATTATGGAGAGTTTAAACTGTAATTTCCAACACTAGAGCTTTCGACCAGTCACTCTGGTCTTCCTCAGTAGACTGACCCAGTCGAGGCTTGTCATGTGGCTTCTTTGAGGTTATATCAGGGCCCATTACCCTTCACTGAACCGCAACGGGGGCCGATATCGTCTACCAGATACCTTTGACCCAGTGTTGACATTAAAAGAAGCCATGTGACAAGCCCCACTGGGTCAGTCTACTGAGGAAGACCAGAGTGACTGGTCAAAAGCTCTAGGTGAGAGAACCTTTTTGTGCAGGACCAAAAGTTTTAACTTCAAACAATACTGTAGCCTAATAAGAAAAGTTTGAATCTTTACTTCTGGATAAAATAAGAAAATAATGTCAGACGTTTCAGACGCCGTCCGGCATCTTTCATCAGTGAAATATTCAAAATTGTCTGAAACGTCTGACATTATTTTCTTATTTTATCCAGAAGTAAAGATTCAAACTTTTCTTATTAGTATTATCCTGGATGATTAATCTTCACAAACGTAATACTGTAGCCTGTTTGTCATCACCAGTAGGATTCATATTGCATGAGCAGCAGTCCCAGGACTGTTCCTTCAGGACTAATCTCCAAGAAGATATTTTGTTCTGAACACCTAAACTAGTGCTGCGTACCGGTTCACTGGACTTGGATCCAGACTTGTAAGAATGTTTAGGTTTAAGCAAATGAAAAAACTAAAAGTCAAGAACCGAGTTCAGACTTATTACCATAAAAGACCATTTCACATACCCCTTTTCTTTCCAAACCACCTAAAACCTTCCGTAGATTGCAAAATCTTTGCTGCAAAATGAAGAAAACATTGCCATTGGGCATTGTCAAGTACCGGCCTGCATGTTACATTGTTGTGGCCAAAGTTTCACCCAGACAACATTGCAAGGTTGCCAACATGTAATTTTGTATATGCCATGGGTTCAGGTCCAGACTTGCAAGTCCGGAACTGAACCTAAACCTCTGGACTTGAATCTTTCCACCTGAACCTAAATGTGGGTTTAGGTATGCATCACTAACCTAAACTATAACTTAACCCACCTTTTCTCCTTGGGAATCTGCTGTAAGGCCTGGTACTGCAGTCTGATCAGCTCAGCCTCTGTCAGTTCCACTGTCCGCACCACACCCGTGTTGCCAGGGGCAACCAGAGCCTTATCACCGGGGGCAACCTCCTCTGCCATCTCTGCGTGACCTCCGTGTGACCTCCCTGTGACCTCTGTCTGACCTCTGTGTACCTCCTACTGAACTCTTGCTGTACAAAATATATATCAATGGTTTATTTCAATAACATAATGTCACAAAACATTGCAGCCAAAACGGCTGAATTGCGTCAGGACAATTACAATAGTTCTAATAGACGCGATTAAAAATATTCACATATAATAAACCGATTTAAAATGTTATGTACAGAATTTAAAAGAATTGTTACTGCGACAAGTAAAAACATTACAGCATATCCATACGAAATTGTCAACAGGAAATAGAAATGGCACTATAATAACAGGCACTATAATGTCTCCCTGATTCAAAAGTTCGACCATGTACGGTAGTGCAAAATTCAACAGAACATGGTCTGTACAGAAGAACTCAGAAGCAAACGGCGCAGAAACTAGCCCAGAGGCGAGTAGATCGATTTTATCGGGGACTCCATTTAATAGGAAAATACATTAAAGAATGTTTCGATCTTAGAGAGCACATGTTAGAGAATAGTTAACCTTTATTGTTACATCATACATATACTCTGTACGTAAGATAACGTTATCCACACATGTATTTAGCTTTGTTTAGATCTTTAGTTAAGTTGTAGAAGACCATACAAAAGTGTCTGTACTTTTTTGTTGTGTCAATAAAGAATCTCTATCATTTAATCGGCCCAGTCGTATAACGGTTTTAACGTGATGGTATAGACTATAGTAGCAAAAGTTTCTGAGATTCTCACCATAAATTATGCAAGGCAAAACCGCGACGACTGTTGCAGGGCTTCTCTTGCATGCAGTTTTTGTTGTTGTCCTTGTTTAACGTCTATTATGTCGCCAGACGTGGTCTCTAGGTGCTCAGTTTTACGCCTGCTTCAGTTCAGAGTCAGTATGTCTGTCTAGGTATTAACACTTGGTGCCTCGTGCTTGTGTGAAGCTGGGAGTGTTTCTAGGAGAGCACGTCGAATCGGCGCGTACTCTCGATGTTTTTTATAGCAAGAGAAGCCCTGCAACAGTCGCCGCGGCTAGCTATTTAAGGAGACTACAACTACAACGTACAAAAGATCATATAAAACATAAGTTCGACCTACCCCTGATGCCAACGATTTCCAAGTCGTTTCTGGGACAAAATGCGAGCTCGAATCTCACCTTCACCGGCCGAAATCTGCACACATGGCCGCCATGTTGAGCTCTGACCTTTCACCTCCAGTGGACGAAACCATTTTCCCCACAAGGGGGGATGTGCTAGGTTTTACTTATAAGTATAACACACTACTCTCCAAGCAGAGGTTTAAGCTTCGGCTTCTTATGTTTACTGAAGGGAAACATGTTGTTTTTGCTCTGTTTCCTTTTCCGTTCCAAACACTGACCTGGTCAATGACCTGAACCAGACCGTCTGTCACCATGGTAACTGGTGTTGGGTTACATCATGTTGCAATTTTATAGCAGGAGGGATTTAGACTCCTGTCAGCATATAACTTTATGTGAATAAGTTTGAGTAAAGAATTAACAGAGCAGACCATATGCGAAGGTAAACATTATGCTTTTGCTTTGCAAATGTTACCTTTCTGTTTTTTGACGTTTTAAACGTTATTATCATACTTTCTGTTTAGTACCGGAATCTCTTTTCGCCACTTTCCCAGTCTGCACAGGGGGCATCCTGGCAACGCGAAAATGTACCTTTTTCCAGTGCCGACTTATAACTCTTAAAAGCAGCAATTCGGAACTTAGAGTAAATATTGCCCAATGAATGCAGTAGAAAATGAAATACATTTTATAAGCCGGTGTTCTCACAGCTTATTTCAAACAGTTGCCACAAGCACCCCATCCTTTTCAGCCTGGGTGCCATCCTCCGTAGTGTTCGCCCGCTCCCTAATGTTGTAGGATTCGCCCGCTCCCTAATGTTCACGGTAGTGTTCGCCCGCTCCCTAATGTTGTAGTGTTCGCCCGCTCCCTAATGTTGTACCGGGATTCGCCTGCTCCCTAATGTTGTAGGATTCGCCCGCTCCCAAATGTTGTAGGATTCGCCCGCTCCCTAATGTTGTACCGGGATTCGCCCGCTCCCTAATGTTGTAGGATTCTCCCGCTCCCTAATGTTGTACCGGGATTCGCCCGCTCCCTAATGTTGTAGGATTCGCCCGCTCCCTAATGTTGTACCGGGATTCGCCCGCTCCCTAATGTTGTACCGGGATTCGCCCGCTCCCTAATGTTGTAGGATTCGCCCGCTCCCTAATGTTGTAGGATTCGCCCGCTCCCTAATGTTGTATCAGTTTATATGCTTCATGACGAATTTACCGACAAAGCATTATACCGTAGAATTAAGGCGGCTGACTACGACTAACGGTAAATTGAAATGGCCCACAAGTCAAAACGCCTGACGGAAAAAGCCATACAGACCTAGCCTTATAGAACTGGGGGTTTGGTGGTCTTCGGCTGTTTCCTAGTTCTAAAAACGGGGGTAATTCAACCAGGCCGGCTATGTTGTCTATATGCAATCAGAAAATAGAGCATATAGAAGCTTCCAAAGACCCTGAAGACCCCCCAAACCCCAGTTTTTGGCATGCTATGGAGGCTAGCTATGCTGTCTATATGCAATCAGAAAATAGCACATAAAAGCTCCCAAAGACCCTGAAGACCCCCAAAACCCCAGTTTTTGGCATGCTATGGAGGCTAGCTATGTTGTCTATGTGCAATCAGAAAATAGCGCATAAAGGCTCCCAAAGACCCTGAAGACCCCCCAAACCTCCAGTTTTTGGCATGCTATGGAGGCTAGCTATGCTGTCTATATGCAATCAGAAAATAGCACATAAAAGCTCCCAAAGACCCTGAAGACCCCCAAAACCCCAGTTTTTGGCATGCTATGGACTTATGGTTTTTATTGTCCAAACAGTACCCGTGCAGTCGCAGCCTTTATACGGCTGAATTGATGCAGGGTGTCACATAATAATCAAGACAAATCACAACAATTACAACATTCAAATAATACAAATGATACACATATTTGTTCCACAATTATTTTGTGGAATTGTCGCAAGGGTCTGTGCGGATGCCATTCGGCGCCACAAGGTGACCTCAATACGGCTTTCCCCAACCGAAGTTAGGTTCCTCACTCCACACCTGGGTGGAGTGAGGAAATTCGTGTAAAGTGCCTTTCCCAAGGGCACAACGTCGGGGCGCATGTTCAGACATGTCCCGGGTACGACTCGGAATCGAACCCGGGTCTCCCGGTTCACAGTCTATTGCTCTAACCACTACACCACCCGACGCCACTGTCTAACGTATAATCACAAGACGTGGTGACGGCACACTCAAGTTTTGTCAACTTATAGTAATGCCGCCACCAACACAGGGGACAACACAATACTTATTTGCACCTGAGCGAAGTGAGGAAAGTAATGTCAAGTATTTTTCCCAAGGACACAAGGTCGGTGACATGTCAGGACTCGGACCCGGGACCTCTTGGTTCCGAGTCGAGCACTCTGCCGCTCCGGAGAAACGACCCCACGACGTTTTGCACGAACGTTTGTTTACTAGTAAACCCAGATGACCTTGCTTCACTCATTTAGATACATATCAGGGGAGTCTTAATAAACAAGCTCTTTGATCCTTCTTCTTTATTGTTTCCACAACAAGAACCGCGCCACTCTCCTGCATTTTTAAATAAAACAAGACAACAGTGGAAGACTCAGGCATGCATCAATAGCGGAATGCTGCCACAATATTGTGTACTAGCAGCTGAGCTAATGTCCATGACATTTGCGATGCCTGCCATAAGAGGCATCTTGTAACTTAAAACACCGCAAAAATCTCCTTTCCTTCTATAACGCAAAATTTATCCCCCGCGAACACAAATGAATTTACAGTAGTACTGCAAAGTTTAGAATGGAGTTAAGCAATTTGTCATTTACCAACATACAATCCACTACACGTGTGAGAATCCACTACACGTCTACATGGCATACCCTCTTTACTATGAATGTGCTCCCTCATACAGGTGAAGGTACCGGTCTCTTTATCATTAAACAATCTATCATTTGAAGTCCTTAAGTATGCTATCTTGCATAAACTTATAATGTTGTATCCAAACCCATTTATTTGCTTGTCTTGCGAGAACGTCTAAGTGGGGTGGTGGTGGTGGGGGGGGGCCTACCATATGGCAGTGGGATGAAGTCATCATCATCTCCTTCCTCAATCACATAATCAGACAGGTTCCCAGTTCTAGCATTAAAGTCACCCAAGAATATGATATAACCGGGCATTTTGATGATGATAACTCAAAACTGTCCCTTAAAACCAACTCTGAATCTACATCAGATGGAGGAGATGATAAAAAATGATGGGACGACTTCTCAACCCTGTCATCAGATGAACAAGAAGGGCAACATTTAGAAACAGAGAAACGCGCGCGCACACGCACACACACACACACACACACACACACACACACACACACACACACACACACACACACACCTCACACACACACACACACACACACACACACACCTCACACACACACACACACACACACACACACACACACACACACACACACACACACACACACACACACACACACACACACACACACACACACACACACACACACACACTATATATATATATATATATATATATATATATATATATATATATATATATATATATATATATGTATGTATGTATGTATGTGTATGTATAGATAGATAGATGTGGCTTTCTGCAATTACTCCCAGCTCCTTTCACCCGTTTTGAAAACAAAGTTATCTCGTGCGCTCACCCTGAAACCTGTTTGTTCATGCAGAAACGAGTCGGCAGAAGGGAGTCATTCCCGTGCGAACATTCTCGTTGGTCAGTGACCTCCGTATCGAAGCACATGTACCTCCGTCTGGGGTCTGATTAGTGAGAAATTATCTAAAACAATAAAGAAACCAATATAAAAATTCAGGATGACTGGCCTCAATGAGAAGAGATGTTCTTGTACTCAGTTGGACCCTCCATAGTGTTAGTCTGCCAATTTTTTGTCTTCGTCAGAAGGACTATGAAATTGTCTCGCCGCATTGTGGGTGACTGCGGATTTAGCGGAATAAGAGGGTCTGCATGGGGGGTCCTGATTACGCTTTACGCTAAATTTATGGAGGCCCGCAACGCTTTACGTTAAATTTCCGGAAGGCTGGCAACGTTTTACGCTAAATTTTCGCCTCCTCACTACGAATAACGGTAAATAAAATGACTTCCCAACGAATTACGGGAAATTATAAAGAGGCCGCCTACGCCTTACGGAAAAGAGCATGCAGACCCTCGAATAACTCTTGAAGGCATTATTCGACGTCCATGATTTTTGGCAGGCAGATTACCGTTGTGGAGGCCAATGCCAAGTGCAAGTTTGGGCTTCGTGGGGGGTCAGTACGTCACTGCAGTGGACTTTTTGTGTTTGTAGCTTGTTAGCAAAATAACTCGAGTATATTTAAACAGATGTTCCTGATTTCTAGTAGGCAACCTACCATTGTAGAGGCCAAGGTCAAGTTCGAAAACGGGCCTCGTTGGGGGTCCCTATGTCGCTGCAGTGGACCTTTTGTGTTAGGTATATAATGAACTACCCCCAACAACCTCTGCATTGATTCACATGGGGACAGCTGTCCCCGGCCGCATCTGGTATCAATTGCTTACAATTGAGGGGCTGTCCTATAAATACTGGGGCGGGGGAGGGAAAAGGTGGACATGCGTCAGGCAGGTCATTCCCTAATTGTAAGGCCAGACCAAGTAATTTCTATGGATGACGTCCACTGGAGACCTTAAATTTATTGCAAAAGCGGGATAAACTACACGAAGGCCAAAAAAACCTGATTAACATGCACAGATTTGGAACATACTAACTGTGGAAATACAAAGATTAGGATGCAAATTGAATAGAAGAACATAGTGCAACAACAAAGGAAAACAGACAATAAATCTCCCCCTCTTCGGATTCTTTCCTTTCATCACATCTTCTCATTACATTTTGCGACACTGTCGTAGAATAAAAAAAGGAAAAAAAGGAGTACAGAGATTCTTTTGTACTCTAGACTAAATTGATTTCTAGTATTAAAAAACGTTCCTTTATCTAGAACAATGTCCCTCTGACGAAGACATGAGATCTCCGACCTCTAGTCTAAAAGTGTATCCATCCTACTTGCCTTTTAGACTACTACAGACTCCGACCACGCAACC